TGCATTTAAATATTAAGAAACTAATCATGGAACATTATACCAGTGAAGAACTGACCTGAAATCATGACCCCACTCTGAAATGCAATGTGCTTCATCAACTGCCAGGAGACATATTCCCGAAATTAGCAATCTCGACCAGAAACTGCATTAACACTCTACATTACTCGGGAGAATAATATAATCACAATTAAATGGAAGCAATAGAAAATCTAAAAACTAGCAGTAAATAAGGAAAAAAAAGGAAGAGATGAAGTTTTGGAATTCCACTGTCAAGATCATCGTTTGCAACTATAATAACACGCGAATACAGCCACTAGGTGATCTACAGCCTAATGAACCAGTGTCCAAAAGAAAACTTAATATATTCCTAACTTAGAAAACAAGACATACAAAGGAGACGAGAAATATAAGTGAAACCTAATAGACTTATATACATGTGCATCTGATAAGTAGGATAGCCCCAACGCAACTATTGCAGAGATAGTAAAACAAATGAACCAAGTTTAGGCCTCTTCACTAAATAAAAAATTATATTGCATTTTCAGCTTACCTGGTTGTAAGCACGCAGGCCTTCTCTGGAGTCATGTACAATATATCATACTGGCCACTTTCAGCATTACCATGTGCACTACGGTTAGTCTGAGCACTTGACAGATACTCAGCTCTTATACCTCTTTGCTTCAATGCCATTACCTAAACATTATAACAAGTAGGTATGTTTTTGTAGAAGTACTAATAGATATAACTAAGATTCGCCCACTTATCAAGAAGATAAAGCACAAACCTGATCTTGCATCAAAGAAATAAGAGGGCTTATGACAACAGTAGTCTTTTTCGCAATCAATGGTGGCACCTGATAGCTTAGTTCATTATTCACAAAAATGGTTAAATCAGAAGTATATTTTCTTCAAACAAGCAAGTGTATTTAGACTATAATGCAAAACACAGTAATAAATTGAAGCTTACCACAAGGACTTGCCACTGCCGGTGGCCATAACCACCAAGCAATCTTTACCATCTAAAATTTTCTCCACAATTTCTTTCTGGTAGGGGCGAAATTTCGAAAACCCAAAACATTCCTGTACTAAAAAATAATAACATCGTTAAAAACCTTCAAGAAAAACAAGAGGAGAAAAAGTAGAAATTTGAGAGAGGAAAGGAACCTTGAGGGTCGACTCCATTTCTATGTTTGATTTTCGGTCGGGCGATGAGTCCGTTAAGATGAAGAACAGTCGAAAAGCTAGAAATTGTGAATTTCAATTGGAAATGCGGTCAATTTGGTGGGATGCACCGATTATTTTCCCGCCATAATATGCAAAATGATTTCTGGGCGAAATTACTTTCAAGACAGAAAGAAAATAGAAGTGTCAAACCCGAAATATAAATAGAAGAAAAAATAAAAGAAAATCTAACAATTTAAACTTAATTTAATTGGAGTTATAAGTCCCTACATATCTACTTTCTCTTAAATGAGAGGCTTTAGAGGATCAGTGTTCGTTTTTGTCACACTCATTTTCACACACTATTCTCGAAATGATTTTCCTATCGTTCATCTCATTTATCTCTACTTTCTCTCATTTTGTTTTCTGATGCAGGGGAAGCTTATAGGAAAGACAAAAATTTCATAAAAAGAATTTCAATCAAGAGAAATTCAAGAAAAACTTTATTTTCTTCAAAACTGAGCTGCTTCAAAAGGTTTACAACGTTTAAATAGCGAAACCCTAATAAAATTCGAAAAGAAATTACATAATAATAAAAAATATTATTTTTTCCAAAAATGGAAAAAATTGAGATAATCACGGATCTTGATTCTCCTAATCATCAGGATCATCCCTCACTCAACAAACGGAAATCAAATCCGAATTTATTTGACTAAGATATTGCCAAAACAAAAATTACCATAAACGGCAAAAACGC